TGATACAATTTTGACTGACAGGTCAGTCCGAAGGCAACATCTCGGAACCTATTCGAATAGAAATGAGTCGTGATTTAACATTTTAAGGATTAAGAATAATACCCTTTCTTCTGGCCAAAGTCTTTTCACGTCATCATTTAATATACCAGTCACAGCTTGTCTATTTCTCTCAATTACAATGTGTAGGCCGTATAAACAGTTGTCAAAATGTTGTCTTGTTTAAAATACATGTCTGCTGTGGATACCTAATTTGTTGTCATGTGTATGGACATTTATACGTATCGATAGGCAACAAATTAGTATCGACATACTACAATGCATGGTTTATATCTTACTTTTATGTACAGCATGCATATTTTTCATCTATATTACCAAGATAAATCAATTCGACAGAATAAACGGAAGAACAAGCGGATGAAAAAAGAGTGTTTTTATAAGTTGTATGGCTTGATGTGTGTCTCTGTGTGTGTGTGTGTGTGTGTGTGTGTGTGTGTGTGTGTGTGTGTGTGTGTGTGTGTGTGTGTGTGTGTGTGTGAAGAGTGAAAGCCCTCCTGTGTGAGGACATTGTTACATACAAGACGACTGGCCCCCGGGCTCCAATCCTGGCAGTTTTCCAATATATGAATTCTGGATTTTAAGATAAACCCAAAAGGAGCCAGCGATAATCCTAAACTGAACATATGATAGACTGAACCAGAACAGAAAAATAAGTCGAAACTCTTATACACTTTACTTTTTTCATTCACTTATGCTCCTAGAGATGTACATCGTACATTAATTGGAAACTGCATTGATATATATATATATATATATATGAAAATATATTTAAACACCATATCGCATGCATTTTAATGTTGAGTTGATTACTTGTACTCACTCGAACCTGGCGGCATGACTTGTCTTAGAAAGAATTTTTTTTGAAGGTCTAAGTTCATGATATTATCAAATTACAACGCTGTAATATTATTAAACGTAACGTCGTGATGGTATGGTATTTTAAAATATACGTAAAAATAACAGATTAATTCCTGTTAATGCATGCATGTGAAAACATTAACAACAATACATATCTAACGCGAAATCAATTTTTAATCTGCCGGTCATCACATTTTTTACGTATAGTTAGGCGTTGTTACTTAATGCTTCTTCAGAGTGGATGGTGTTGTATTCTTAAATGCATTAATGCACTTAATCCTTTATTACGTTCCACATGTTTTTTATCCTTACATTTTGAAGCGAAAAGTCTGAAATATTTGATTTTGAACTGCTTTGGGCGATTTGATGAGAAAAAGATAAAAAAGATAAGAAGCTGCAGGCAATTCTATGAATAACGTCTCCTAGTTCTTTTCTACTCTACCGTTATTCAGATTGTGCTATATAACCAAGATAAAATCAATGAACGTCAGATATTATGTAAAAACTGCACTACTTTATCAGATTTAATTTCATCTCTTCGACATATTAAGAGTTGTAATGAATTAAACACACACACACAGAAACAAGGAATATTTTTATTCTATTTCGCAAAAGTGTCGTGCAATTGTTAGTACCACGCTTGCTTTAAAGACATAGATTGTGAAAAAATATACAATTGCTGAATAAGAAAAAACACTGTTTTGTCATTCGAGGAAGCTCAGTGACGCAAGGGATCAAAAGTGTATTGATTAAGGAAAAGAATTAAAGACACCAAAAAGGATACATTGATTCCTCATTAAATCATCATAATAAATGGATAATGATGCTTATGTAACCGTGTATGTTCTTATCTTGTACCAACACTCAGATGAATTTAGAACACGCTTTAAACTCCAATTAGATGTGCTTTCTTTTCCTTCTATAAGATTTTTAAAACTTTTAGTCGCTGTCGTAACTGTGAAGAGGAAATGACTTGATGAACAACATGCATACATACAGGAGAGGTGTGCATATTAACTAAGACACTGTCAGCAAACCAGCGGGTATGGCAGAATTGTGTAGATTCGTAATCACGCTCGATTATTATGTAATAAAGCCTTAAGCACCATCGAGCACACATAATGGACACATTTTGAAATGTGATTTTGTTTTCTTGTTTCCAGGAGACGAAACAAATTGCAGGATTTCGAAACGTCTTCTAACTATCTACCGATATATTGTAGAGACACTGATGAAAATTGGATACATGTTTTCATTTAGTAGAAATGCATGTACGTTTAGCAAAAACAGAATCAACATAGCTAAAGAAGAGGCTTAACCTAGATACACAAGTGAATAGCGCTTTTTCAATACAAAATAAGAATTATATATGTTCATTTTCCTTTTAACATCTTCGTACATATTGTTCACAAATCGATTTTATAGGCAGTTGTAAAGTGATATTTCTTGCATAGCATACTTCAGATTTACTTTTTTTCTAACTAACGGATTTGTATTACTTTCGTTTTCAAAGATAATACGGGAAATCATTCAGAATGAATGCATTGAAGTTCCTATCTTTTTCTTAGAGATTTTCCTATTGTATATAACGCCTCACTTGGGAAGACCTCGGTTTGGGTTTACTATTGCATTAAGTTTGTAAACGTTATGCTCCCGATGGATTTTTATCAAACAAGATTTATTTTAAGAGAAGAAGATCTTGAAACTGGCAAGTTGTTACTTTTCCTTTTTAAGTGTCATTTCATTTTATTACTGTGATTTTATTTACTTCAAACGACTTGTGTATTAACGCAAAATCATTGTCTTTGTTAAACGTTTTATACAATGTAATCTATTGCTTTGCTTACTTGTTTGTGACAGTGTGCCAGTCTGTGTATATATAGGTTATTCCGCTGCATTACACAATGTATTACTCCATGTATCTCAAAATTGAGCGTACTGAACTTATATAGCAAAATCAAGTAAGTACACAGATTTATACATTAATACATATTCAAAATTTGGGTTAGGGTATGATGTGAATATTAACCATGAAATTATCACATAGTAATCGATAAATTATAGATCAGACGTTCATTTACATGTACCGGTCGGACAAATGAAGTATACATGATAATCCGTGTCTTATCAGTTACTGGTGTGCAATAGTAGCACATAAAAACCAAAGTCAAGGAGGTTTCCTGTACATTAAAGTTCTACATGGAAACCAATAAGCAAATTACAATAGATAACATAAATTGTTTTTATGGTACAAGGCCTTTTTACGCTGTCTGGGTTCTTCATTACCTTAACCTTAATTTATGGTGAGCATTGACGTCATGTGCTGTTAGATATACTGATAAAAGTATCGTTTAACGATCAAAAGAGGTACCATTACCGAAAACAATTCATCATAGTGGACGATTTGCATTTTAATGCATGTCGTGAAGAAATTTTGAGCTGAGTATTATCCATGCTGATTGACATGCACTAATGAGCAAATTCTCCGTTTAAGGTTTTATGTGCTGATATGGAAAGTGTGATCACCGTACAGCAGGATTCCCGGCAAATGACTTTAAACCTGTTTAACCAAAACTTTGAAAGATTTGCAGGTTAATGGTGCTATGATTTATCATTTTCCAGCTGAACTGAAAACTTGCTTTGAATCACGCGACGAATGGAAATCTGCATCTGCATCCACATAAACCTTCCAAGTAGCATCGTCTGCTTATTTCAATGTGGAAATGACGCCAAATATATAATGCTACAATACTTAAGTTTATAGTGACTACCATTTTGAATAACGTGTTCATCAAAGTGGAGAACGTTCAACTATAGGCTAAAAGTGTGGCAGTGTTCAGGGGACTTAATGAAGATAACAGATGTTTAGAAAAGAGAGTGGACATCGAATACCAAATTTTATCTTATCTTTTATGCGTTTTCTTGAGTGATAGATTCCGCAAATGACTGACAAATACTTTTGTTTATTGAAGGTACCATAGGACAAATCCATCTTTCCAACAGTAAAGTAATATAATTATATTGTATGGTGACATTAGCGAAAAGTTAATCAAAATCTAATTGAAGGACAAAACAAATCAAATATGTGACTCACCATATAATGGTTAACAACCTGGCAAAAATTTCACCCTTCCACTATAAAAATGATTCGGACAAAAGCAAGTACAAACACAGGATTTTCATGAAAGATTACAAGATACTTATATGACTCTGAATACAGGGTTTCGAGAGATGCAAGTTGATTAAAATGATTCCTCTGTCTAAACTAATCTTTTGGCTATTATTGACAAATGCTATGTCCAATTCCTGTTTTAAGTCTTTCAACAGAACAAACCTCGGCACTTTGAAGGTCTGCATCTACGCTGTTGTTACAGTTTGTATATGGCGCATCATGGCCCTTTTTTCAAAATCCCTAAATACATCTTCATTCTCTAGTATTGCCATCACTTGATTATGATAATGTACAAATGCATCGCTAACAGTTGACATTTTAAATCGGATATGCTTCTTAAATTACATTTTATTTCAAAACGTGTATTAAAATATTTCCACTTGCAAAATCAAAGTATGTATTGAGAAGATTTTTAACAATTGATCTGTTTCATATTCATCGTTCACCAATCAATTATTGAATTGTAACCCATTTATTGATATACGTCAATTTGTATAAGAAAGCTGGAGGGAAAACAAGCTTAAGCCAACTTGTGCACCTGATCGTTGGTGATACACAGCGTTGTTTGCTCATCTGTCGTGTGATTGGTCAGAAGTAAACAGCTTTGCTAGTTACAAGCTGGTGAAAGTGGCGCGCTGATCATAGCTAGAGCGGCTGCCGAGGCTTGTGAACGGGCTGTAATGACACACATCAATACAGTAGTGGTAATTCCAAAATTGTCAAAGGATAAGAGCACAGTGATAAACGAGGCACTGCTAACACCTTGGGTTCGCGTATCGTCGAACTACTCAGCTTATGACCGATGTTATTATTTCAACGTTATCACTCATCATCCACCTCAAAGGATTTGTTGAGTACTTTGACATAAAATTTGTTTCGCAAATAGGTTCTCCGTGATACATTACAGCAAATAATGGCATTTAATAACACTACAACTGACTTGATGGATTGTGACTATTTTGACAATGGAACGGTAAATAATGTTGCAGTGTCCACTTATGTTGTTGTTGTGTCTTACGCGTGTATCTTCCTTTGTGGTGTTATTGGTAACGGCCTCGTCATCTACGTCATTCTACGATATGCCAAGATGAAAACAGTAACCAATTTATTCATACTAAATTTGGCAGTATCAGATTTTCTTTATCTTCTTCATCTACCACTAATATCAACAACAACGTACCTGAAATACTGGATGTTCGGTAATGCCGTATGCAAGATAAATTTTGTATTGTATTCGATAAACTTTTTTGCTGGAGTTTTCACGTTGACGTCACTAGGTGGAGATCGCTACATAGCTGTATGTCATGCCATAAAATCCCAGGAATATCGAACGCCAAAGTACGCAACTCTTATTATCATTGGCATCTGGTCACTCTCGTTCTTTGTGATGCTGCCTACCATTCTCTATTCGAAAACTGTGCCCAATCACAGCTTCCCTGGGAAACTTACATGTACGATTGAATGGCCATCTGGACAACTCATACCTACTGAAAAAGCATACACGTGGTATACATTCCTGCTTGGGTTTGGTATTCCTGTTTCTCTGATATCTGTTTTTTATCTTCTTGTGATTTTGCGGTTGAGGACTGTTGGGCCTGTAAATAAGTCCAAAGAAACCAAAAAGGCACATAGGAAGGTTACAAGGATGGTGCTTGCAGTCATATCAGTATACATCGTATGTTGGCTACCATATTGGTGCTTTCAGGTAAACCTTACATTGCGACCAAAAGACAAAATTCTGGAAGATTGGGAGATACTTATGTTCAATATTTTCACTGTGTTGACATCATCTAACAGTATGCTAAATCCCATTCTTTATGCTTTTCTCAGTGACAATTTCAGGCGCAGTTTTCTGAAGTCATTCCATTGCACTAGTCTAACGGAAGCAAACAGAAGCTTGTACGGAGAAAACAGCTTCCCAACAAAGCATAGGCGCAGTCGCGATTACGCATTCGGAAAAAGCAAAGATATCGAGAATATAAAGCTTAAGGAGAAAGAGAAAAAAACTGAAGTGGAAAATGGCGATTATCAAACTCAAACAATCGGCCATGTTAATGAGAAATGTCGACTGCTTCAGCTTAACAAAGTTGCAAAGCATACTGAGGAGAACAATGAGTACAAAAATAACCTGGACGTTGAAGATTTAGACGCAGTGATTGATCATTCTGATATTGCAGCGTTATATGCAGACAAACAGATTCAAACGCGGGAAGAAATTGCTTAATTCTGTTTATGAAACGTGTCGTTTATAAATTCTCGTCACCAAGACATACAGAAAATACGTGACTGAAACACTTTTTAAATAAGGACAGTGTACTCAGGACAAATTACACTCGGGCGTATCTTGAATTGATTATGTTGTAAGTACTCGTAATCTCATTTCTTAATATTGAATTGCATTCCATGGTGAGAAAATGGAGAAATGTGTAAATTATTGTTGCTTGTTGCTGTTATTGTTTCTCCTGTGTAGATAATGTACATGGAATTGGTCAGATTTGTTGCATAATGAAACTTATTTGGAAATTATAAAGACTGATTCGACATCTTAATTGTTTGACGTGACTTTGCTTACAATGTACCATATTTGCAGTAGCAGGATAAATAAACAACTAAGAACGTCGTTCTATTATTTATTATTTAGTTACAATTTCCTTTTTTGACCATTACTATGTTTTTAGTATTAACCACTTCGAAAACAACATATCATCCCAACACATCAACAAAATCGTAATTCAAACTCCAATGCAATAAAACAACAGCAAAATATGTACATAAGAATATATACAGGGAGATCCTAAAAAGAGTCGTTGACAATGATAATATACCATTTACTTGCAATTACCGAAATGTTATTAACAATCGATAGCTACGCATGTTAACATACACACGATTATAGGGTCACGTGATATTTATTGACATTTGATAGACACGACTTCAACATTTTTGCTTTCACTGATCGAGATCATTTCATTGTCGTGTATTATTACCCTTCTTTGTATCTAGAGAAATCTCTGCCAGTAACTCATTTTTTTTCCATTTTTTTATGACTCCAGAACAAATACGAAACTAACGCGGAAAGGCCACACACAATTTCCCTATAGCATTTAAAATGACATTTAGTCGCATTTTCAATCATTATTGTTTTCGGAAAATCCGCTATAAGGTTGTTTCCTTTTCAAGCATTTAGCATGAAGTTTTAAAGTTGAGTTAAGTTGACATTTTCCCGGTAAGATGGACATGCGATTTTTTAATGTTCTCTATTCGTCCTTTGGATGTTTTGTGATTAATACAAATGCCTTTTATTAATATTCAAAAGTAAAAAATGTTCAACGTTTGCTTTAGTGCAAGAGGTCCAAGCATGAATATGATGTCAATCATTACTTCACTATTTCTTTAAAAGATTGATATTTTTCCTTCTTTTTCATTTTTGTCGTTTATTTAACCTTAATTAGAAGAAACACGTCAATCCTTAACTGTCAAGCCAAAGATGGGCACCTCTTAGCTGTTTTGCTTTTCTGATCAGTCCGAAATGAGGGACCAAGGGTACCTACATGTAAAAATTGAGAAAACTCTATACCATCCTTCTTAAAAAATAGCCATAACAAAGCACAAAAATACAAGGTTGGCGCCTGTCAGCCATTTTGTTTTTCTATTTAGTCCAAAAAGCAGAAGGCCACACCTAGAGACCAAGAGGAACCTATATACGTAATTTTAAGAAAAATACACCCAGTACTTATCAAGCAATAGCAAACTTTCATAGTGAAAATCTAATATGGCCACTTGAGAGCCATTTTTCTGACCAATCACAAAATCAGAACGGCACAAATAGAGACCAAAGGAAATCTTACTATGAAATTTCAGAAAGACCCAAAGTGAGCTGAATTTAGTGCTCAAGTTATTACATTTATCACAAAAACCATCTGTAAGTTTTGTTTCTACAGAGTAAATAAAGGAATTTACATGTGTGTCGATGTATGGATTTTATTTAACGAGTTCAACACAAAGACATCGAGACGTAGCAAAATATTTAAATAAATTCCATAATACGTCGGCTCGAGCATGTTTCAATTTATAACCAGTATAAGACAACAGGCCAGTGGGGTGATTGATTATATTTATATAGATATATATGTTTTAAAGTCAACTTAATCAACGAGCGTTTCGCTTTCTTTCATCAATTGTACACATAGCGTATGAATATTTGTGAGTTATGCATTCTTAATTTGTCAATGTGGATCCTATCATTGCTGGTCTTAGAAAGACACCTGTATGATGCAAACGGTCTCTACTTCAATGTAATAATTAGAACCACCGAAAGTTAAAACAACACGTTTGGAATGATTTGAAAAAAATATAATGAATACAGAATAAAAAGTCATTATATTACCATTATTTAGGTTTCTTAAAACTCTCTATTGATACTTATCTACAGTTGGATTAACGAAAGGTAATGAATTGCAGATCCTGTATCTGCACTAAAGATTCTTGCGACATACTCGATCTTTTCTTGGGCTGATTACGATTTATCTCATGGTGGATGTGAAGGTAACATACCCCTTTAATTTATTATCTGGAAATACCTTGCAGTTGGTGTTCATTGAGTAAATGGTATGTGTTATGTTTTGTCGATTTGTATTTGTTAATCCGTGTTTGACGTTCAGCTTTATATGTGGACAGCGAGGGAATGTTAGCTTATTTTCAATAGAATATAGTTAAGTTGAGAGTCATACATGTTGCCGTACCAAGGTTCCGACATTTTAGAGCGAATTCACGGTTCTATTATTAACGGTCATATCAATATTATATTAGCTATTCGCATTAACTTCCAAACAAAGAAATGAACATGTACGGAAAATCCTCATTGAAATTATTAACTGAATTATGCTTGATCATTGCAGGTTTCAGGGACATTTCAATGAAGATTTTAGTTTTGTCTCATTCAGATAGTCCCGTGATACTGTATACTGCGCCGTACCATATAAGCACCATTCAATACCACAGCGTAGTTTCCGCTCTTTAATCTTGGATTAATTCTGATAGCCACCTGAGGTCGACAATTATCCACGTAAAGTCCATTCTAACGAAGCGCGCAGTAGACCACTTTGGTTCGGGGTCTTTGGATCTTGTTTCATGTTAACATACATTGTAATTATATAGTGTACATGTATTCCATATGGTTCCTTTATTTATCGTTTGATTCTATATCAACATGTGTGATGCTTAACCATAAATAAATAATCGGCTTTAGCTTGCATTCTGTTGGGGTTTCGTCCGCAAAAAACAATCCATAACGAATTCAACAGCAATATATTTGAATTGTGGTAAAAGAATAAAATAATTAGTATGTAAAATCAGCAATATATTTTCTTTTCAATGTCATATTTCTCTATCAGCTTCTGATCTACTGAATGGCTCACGTATGTATTATTTATGAGTTTTAATTAAATCCTACAATAGAGAAAGTGATGACCCCGTTAATTAAATGTCATGTTCGATTATTACCTTCATGTGATTTACTCGTAGGCGATAGACATTGCAGACATCTCACCGCATCGTGTAAAACTTAACTGAAAAGGCTAATATAACAATGAGTAAGAAAGTAGGAAGAGACCATTTTACATCGGCATTTAAACAATGCCATTTCATGTAACCGATAATTAACACACTATTTTCAGCAAATCGAATCCAGTGGATATTGTTGACGCTAGCAAAAGTTCCATGTAATATGTACCTGTAGACTACTTTCCTCGGAATGTGACATGATGTTTTTTCATTTAGATTTATAACTTTGTTTTTGTGCTATATATGTATTGTAATATTTGTGTCTTGATAAAGGGGCAGATTACCTCAAAAATTTGACAATTCGCTTGTCCGTACTGTCGCTATTACCTCAGAGAGAGAGAGAGAGAGAGAGAGAGAGAGAGAGAGAGAGAGAGAGAGAGGTGGTGGGGTGGGGGTATCTTTACGGAATCGAAAGGTCAATGGTTTGGTTTTATAGTTTGATATTCTATGATTTTCATGGTGATCCCTATGTATGCAATGTAAGTGGAAATGTTGAGTGCGTTTAATTTCCGCTTCATCGATGAAATCAACAATGCAAGTCTAGATTAATCCCATTGATGCCAAGCCCTCAAAATGATGGAAGGCCTTCATATCACAAAAAGAAAATAAGCAAATTTACTGCGATAAACCTTTACCACAGACATATCTATGACTACCAGAGCTTTCACAGCTGTATTAGAATAAAATGGAAAATAAGGATGCCATATTTTCACTTAGTTTCCTTGTAATTGAATATACGCAGGTATATCTTTACGTAGTGCAGTTGCTTAATATAACTTATTGTGATGTCTTTTTAAAAAAGGAAATGACGTTAAACATTGCTTTGTGACATTGATAAAGAGCGAAAATGACTTCAAGTTTGACGTAGAAGTGTCCGTTTTTTCCCATATTAGCATGATCATACGATAAAAAAAAATCTGAAATATGTATCATTGAATATTTGATTTAGTGAAACTCGTCACGAATTGTTCATTTCAGCCCCTATAAGGCTGGCTATGATGAAAACTTTCTTTACCTTATGTGATAAATTAAAATGGATTATTATTATTTTTCACAATCTTAACCGCCCGTTAACACATAAAAGGTCATTAGGGTTATCAACCGGTGAAAAACACAGCGATCTAAAAGGGAAATAATATCAAACAAACTAAAAGGTGAAAACAAATGTTAAAAACCTTAAATGGTTACACTATCACAAAAAATAAAAATAGTAAGTCGTAATCTGTAATATAGACCAACATCTTTCAGATAACCTGGAATTTTAGACTTGTAACGTTACGATAAAAATGTCTCGAGTAAACAGATGGTCAGCGCAGTCCAATAAAAATGTTTAACAGTGAATGGCTCATCACATCCTCTGCACTGAGGATTATCTTCACCTTTCAACATACATGAATGCGTAAGATATGTATAGCATGGAACTTGTGTTATCACATCCTGTATATCTTCTCACTTGTCTGAACCTCAGGGTAACAAAACCAATTACTGATTAGATATATACTCATTACGATATTCTCCCTCTGTATGAATCTGATTTTGTTCTGGTACTTGATTTTGATATGGACCCTGATCATGTCGGAATTGGTGGGAATGAGAAGGTAAATGGACTGATTAAGTGGAAATTACGAGATAATGTGAGAAGAGCGAGTTTCCTGGTTTTAA